ATTGGAGTTTAGCTGGAGCTGGAGACCTTTTCGCCTCTAGTAGAGATATAAAAATTAATTTTTAGATACTGTAGCTACGGAGATTAATATTTATGTTAAAATTTTATAAAATAAGTCAATTTAAAAAAAAAAAGTTACTACTACCATGTGAAGAACGTTACGTCATCTCTTCATGAGTGACTGATTGCTTTTCTAATTGGGTTTTGTAATTAGGCCTCGAAATATGGGTATGGGCTTTTATCAATATAAAGTTGTTGTTTTTTTGGAACATCTGTTTCATTAAACTTGAAAATGTTTTTACTATCTCAAATAAATAAATGTTGAATACATAAAGGAGATGAATTATGAATACAACAAGAGAATAATTGAGATTTCCCTATATGCGCAAATTTGTCCGTTATTTCGTTTGTCTTTCTCCCGATATGGACCATTTGAACACCTGCAAATCGATTGATCCAGAAATGGAAATCATGAATCAAATTCTCCATTGCTATGTCCCTTCTTCGTCCATATATTAAATCAACGAGAGCGAGTGAATCGCCTTCAAAAATTATAAAGTTGTTAGACGGAAAAAAATACTACCAAAATAATTTTAGTTTTTTTTTGTTGGTTGAAAATAATTTTAGTTTTGTAAAAACAAATTTATGAATAAAAAAATGGTTTCAAATCGATCGGCGAGAAAATGCGGTGGTACGTCATCTGGACCGTCAGATTGTAATAGTGAGAATTATCTCTCTCCTTTGAGGCTCTCCGGTCCGAGAAAGCAAATTTTTTTTTTCTCAAGAACGGACTATTTAGCTAGATAACAAAGATTTGAACAAAAGAAAAATCTAGATAACAAAGATTTAAAGGTAAATTAGCAAAATAACAAAAAGAGATGGGATTCCCTTCCAAAACAATAGGTTGGTTAGTTAAAGTTTTTGTTATTTGCATAATTATCCCTAAATTCTTTGCCATCAACCCCAAGAATTTTTTAGTATCTTATAAAGGTCAATTTGTTGAATAACGACAAAAAGTTATATATAATAAAAAATTAATAAACAAATCTTAAGTCTAATGGTTAAAATGTCGTCACCTAGGAGGATTTTGG